TGCCTACCAGGGACAGTAGGAGAGGGCTGGAGCTCCTGCACTGCCAGGTGTTCTCATGCTTACTAGCTGTACCCAGCCATGGGCTGTGTCCTGGCATCCCTGCCCATCCCTCAGTACTGTAAAACTTAAGCAAGCCTGATTGTCTGAGACATATCCACCCAGAAACCCCCAAGGAGGGTATTTGGGCTGTAGGTGTCCTAGTGAGGGGGTTGGACTGAGGCAGCCAGGAGTCAAGTTTTGGTCTAGGAGCATGAGATGAGGTTTTGGAGCAGTCTGGAGAACAAGTGGGAGGAGGGTTACAAATACGAGGGGAAAATCATGATAGATTTATCACAGCCTGAAATAAATTAACCTCTGGGCGGAATGATTTTGTAATAATTTGCATTTAGATACTCTGACACATCCAAATAACCCCAAATCTTCTGCCAACATTATAATTAATTCAATCACCAGCATCCTGTGAGAGGGATTGAAATAGCACTATTTACATGGTTGAAGGCACCACGGACTGTTTTGCACTTTAAATCCCTGGTACTGCCCTTCTCAGGTGTTTGTGGCTGCATAGTGTGGTGGTGGGGTGATTCATAGCAGCAGTGAATAGCTGGAGCACTTTTCTCAACTCAGTGAGCTGAGATCCTGCCCTCCTGGGGCATTACACCCCATGCCACGGCCTGCCTGAGACACGGCAGAGAGGCTGGGAGCAGCTCAGCAGGGAGCAGCTCAGCAGGGAGCTGAGCCCTGGCTCAGCTCATGCCAGTGGTGGCTGCAGGCAGAGCTACTCCCCCTGTGGGGAGCCCTGCCACAGAGCAGAGCAGCTTGGCTTCATCCCTGGGGGAAAGTGGTCAAGCAATTTAATATTCAGGACTCTCAAAGGCAGTAATGAATTTGATAGCCAAAATTATCTGCTCACCCAGCCAACTGAGAGGGTATTTGAAGGACGATCAAAGCCTGTAGCCAGGCAGTGTGATATGTTGTTGTCATCAGCCTCCTGCCTATTCCTTTCTGCTCCAGGGCAGTTAATCATAAATGAGATATTTGTTTGCTGCTGCTGTTTTCATGCATACTCTGCCCTGTCTCTATTTCCAAGAGACTGTGAAGTCAGTAGGTTACAGGCTGCCTGACTTCAGCAGTCTTTGCAGGAGAGTCTGCACTTCAGGGACACCCAGATCAAATGGTGCTTTTTTGGCTGCTGAAAGCTCGGGCAAGCCAGAAGCTTTCTGAAGGGAAGCTGAGCATCCCAAAGTGTATCTTTCTTACTGACATGCGTCTTAAATCTGGAGTGCTTAGGGCAGCCTGGGGTTGGTATCAGGTGAGCCATCTCCGTGCCCTGCAGCTATGCCTGTTCAGCTGGGGGTTTGCAAGTCAAGGGCTGGGGAGGGGTGGCTGGATTTCGGTTACAGACTCATAAGGGGTCGAGTGATTTGGTCCGCATCCCTGGGGGTGAATCCATGATCTTCAAGATTTGGAGCAGCCCTCTGCTTGCTGCCAATTTGGCCTCTGCCATTTGGCCTTTGCCATGCACCCTTGCTTTCTTCAAAGCTATTCCAAAGACTGGGAGTGTGCGTTCTTGTGCAGGCGGTTAGCAGCATGTCAGCTGTATACACGGGGACATTTCTCTGACACAGCAGTGGGGAGGAGAATGCACACTGTGTCTTGCAGATTTACTCCTCATAAAACACCTCTAGCTCTCCATAGATATCTGCAGATAATCTGCCAAGTGAAGCCAGGGATATTTATAGTGCAGCTTCAGCAATGACATAACAGCAAGTTATCAAACAAATGAACTTTGAAACATAAGGAGAGCAAAAATGCTGCCTGCAGTACATTTATTTTGGAGTCAATAAAAAAAAAGGGTAAATAATAATAGTTAATGTTTCCAGGATGGGTCAGGTGAAAAAGCAAAGAAAACAAAACATTTCCATCGTGCTGTCAGGCTGTTTTGTGTGCACTGAGTTTGAGTTACAAAGACAAATGATAAAAACTTTGCTTCCCGCTGAGATGAAGCGGTGCTGAGTACCATACAGATACCTTCAGAAAGCTAAGGTAAATGTTGCTTCAAAAGGGATTGAAACTGCTCTGAGTTTCAAACATTAGAAAATCTCTACATTAAGTTCACAAAGTTGTGTATAATTAAGCAGTTGTAGCTGTGGCTGTGACTTTCGCTTCCTTTCTGGCTTTCCATCTCTCTGCTGCTCTGCTCCATGGGCCCTGCCGGCTGGAGGGGATTTGAAGCCGGACTGGCACAGCAAGGCCTGGGGCTGGTGCCGTCCTGCCTGGAGGTTTCTGCTTGGTCCTGTCACGTTTTAATTAGCATGAGACACACTTGGGCTGCTCCTCCTGGTTTGTCAGGGAGCTCGGGCGCAGCGCAGGGCTCTTCTGCGCTGTCCATCTTCCTCGTGGGGCCAAAGGTAATTCCCTCGCTTCTCCCCTGCCTTGTATTCCTAAAGCTGGTGCAGGGGAACCCGCCCTTTGTTGATGCACGAAGGCGGCTCCCTGCTGCGGCAGCCGTTGCTGCCCCTCCCGGGCACGGCCCCCCCCAA